TGTCTCATGTAACCTTCCACTTCTCCAGGACTAACCACTTCAATTCTTTCTTAGTCTTTTTTGTCTTGTTTTGGACAAGTTCTTCCTTGGTGATTTTACTCATTCAGTTAACACCAAAGTGCTGATGACTGCAGGATTAGTATTTCCAGCCTTTCCTCATCTATTGCCATTATCAATTGTAATGTGTCCACTTGAACTCAGTATTGGTTTCCCTCAAACTTCCTGTGTTCCCCACGTCAAGGAACTTCATCACCCCTACTCAAACCATTGAAGCCTCAGTGCTGTCTTCTGTAGGGATAGTAGAACTCATACCTCCCCCTACGTTCCCAGGATAAAAAATTCTTTTGGGGAATGGCAATAATTTAAGAATGATTGGTAACAAAACTCTCATTAGGTGAACAGCCTCAGACTTGTTTCTCTCACCACCCATCTGGAGCTGTCTTTCTCCTCATCTCTCTCACTGCATGTTCCCTTTCCTCTTGCCCACTGTGACCTCTTCTCTAGCTACTTCAGGTTCCCTAGGAGAAGTTAAACAGGGGCTATGGTTATCTCAGAGCTGGGAGAGACCGTTGTGCCTACTGTTCAGTGCTGGTTCAGGATCACAGACAATAGTATATGACCCTCTCTCAGCAAAACAAAACAGACCCAACCATTTTAGTTGCTGTGGCCAGCTCAAGCCTGTAGATTATACCTCTAAAACCTCTCTAAAATTGGATTCCTCCTCTTCATGCTCATTGACTACTGTAATTCAGACTTTGTCCTGAGGGAGAGGCAGAAAATCACTTTGTTCACTATAATACACCATAATAACTATAATACACCATAATAACAAACTAAAAAAGAAAAATCACATAATTAAAAGACATAAGAATTGAAAAATAAAATGACATGATGATGTGCCTAGAAAATAAAAAATACTCTATAGATAAGGTATTAAAATTGATAATTGAATTTAGCAAGATTGATAGATAGAAGTTCAATAGACAAAAAATACTTAAAGCTCTGTATGCCAATTAAAAACATTAGAAAATAATATAATTTACAACATGAATTTTTAGAATACCTAAGCACAAAAGTAACAAATTATGTATAGAGGCTTCTACCTAAAAACCTATAAAACTTTGCTGGGAGAAATTTTTAAAAGACCTAAATAAATTAAGAATATTTATAAATTGAGAGTCACTGGGTAGCACAAACAGTTAAGTGCTTGACTGTTAACCAAAAGGTTGGTGGTTCAAACCTACTTAGAGGCTCCTAGGAAGAAAGGCCTAGCGATTTGCTTCTGAAAGGTCGCAACCATGGAAAGTGTATAGAGCACAGTTCTACTCTACAACACTTGGGGTCACCATGAATCAGAATCGACTGGACAGCAACTAGTTGCGGTGATGATGGACTGAATGACTTACTTTTGTAAAGTTGTCAATACCCTCCCCCCACAAATTGATCTATAGATTCAGTGCAATCCCAATCAAAATCTCAGCAGTGTGTGAATATGTGTGTGTGCGCATATGTGGGTGAATTACAAGTTGAGTCTAAAATTGATATGGAAATGCCAAGGGCCAAAAATGGCCAAGACAATCTTGAAGAAGGAGGACAAAGTTGGAGAATTTACACTGCTAGACTCTAAGACTTATTAAAGAATATCGTATTTAAGGCAGTGTAGTATTGGCATAAGAATAAACACATAGTTCAATGGAATAGAATAGAGAGTCGAGAAAAAGATTCACACATACGTCGACACCAAGAGCTCAGCTACTAACCGAAAGATTGGCAGTTCGAAACCACCAGCAGCTCCGTGAGAGAAAAGACCTGGTGATGAGCTCTCATAAAGATTACAACGTAGTAAACCCTATAAGGCAGTTCTGCTCTGTCACATGGAGTCTCTATGAGTCAGAATTGACTTGACGGCTCCTTACAACAACAACAGATTAATGCCAAATGTAGTACTCCAGAGTGGTGGAAAAAGTTTATTTTTTTTTTCTCCAAAACGGTACTGGGTCAATTGGGTAGCATTAAAAAACAAAACAAAACAAAAAAAACTTGACTCTTAGCTCATAGTACACATGAAAATCGATGGATTGTTAATCTAAATGTGAAAGTTAAAATAATAAAGCTTCTAGGAAGAACATAGGAGAATATCTTCATGAGCTAGGAATAGGAAAAAATTTCTTGAACAAGACCAAAACAGTTTATTGTTAGCTGCCATTGAGTCATAGTGACCCCATATACTACAGAATGAAACAACGACCATCCCTGCTCCATCTTCTCAATTGTGGGTATGCTCAAGCCTGTTGTTTTGAGTGCTGTCCAACCTAGGGGGCTGATCTTCCAGTACTATTTATTATATCAGACGATATTCTGTTGTATCCATAGGGTTTTCATTGGCTATTTTTCAAAAGTAGATCTCCAGGCCTTTCTTTTTAGTCTGTCTTAGTCTGGAAGCTCCGCTGAAACCTGTTCACCGTGGGTGACCCTGCTGGTATTTGAAATATCAGTGGCATAACTTCCAGTATCTAGCAACAACCAAGCCACCACAGTATGACAAAAGATTGATATATTGAACTATATCAAAATGAGAAATGTCTGACTCAAAAGACACCACCACTAAGAGAGCGAAAAAAACAAGCCCCAGAGTGGGAAAAACATCTGTAATGTATATATATTTGGTAAAGGGCTCTTATCCCGAATATAGAAGAAACATTTAAAAATCAATTTTAAAAAGCCAAACAACCCAGTGGGAAAATTGGGAAAAGTTCTAAACTGACACTTCATGAAAGAGAATATTCAAATAGAAAAAATATATATGAAAAGTTGCTCAATCTTATTAATTATCAGTAGGGAGACTATATAATTTGTTGTTTAAATTGGGATTTTTTGAGAGTGACAAGGCATGCTATTAATAATTATGCCAGAAAAACAGACTTAAACCAGGCTGTCCCTTTCATCATCAGAGAAATTCATGTTACATTCACAATGAAATACCACCACATGTGTACCAGAATTGCTAAAGTTGAAAAAAAACTAAGCATATCAAATATTGGTGATGAAATGAAGCAACTGAATCTCTCATACGCCCCTGTTGGAGGACAAATTGGTACAACCACTTATGAAAACATTTTAGCTGTATCGGCTGAACATGTGCATATCCCAGCAATTCTATTCCTAGGTATATATGCAACAAAAATACATACCTAAGAGTGCCAAATACATGCAAGAATATTGATAACTGTGTTATTTATGATAGCTCCGAACTGGAAACAACTCCAACGTTCATTAAGAGTAAATGAATAAACAGTATTGTGTCCACACAGTGGAATAGAATGCTGCCATGAAAATGAAAAAAAAAATTAATAAATCTCAAAAACATAGTATTATGCAAAAAGAAACCAGATACAGAAAAATACACATTGTATGATTCCATTTATATAAAATTAAAAGCAAGCAAACTAGTGTATGGTGTTGGAAGTCAGTATAGTGGTTGTCTTTTGGGAGGAGGGGAGGAGCATGGAAGTGGCTTCTGGGTTAATGATTATGTTCTATTTCTTGATATGAGTGATGACTACATAGCTTTGTTCATTTTGTGAAAATTCATTGAGCTGTATGCTTATGATTTTTGCACTTTTCTACATGCATGTGACTCTGCAAAAAATAGTCAAAAACAGACACTAACATACTGGTGTCAAGAGTAGAAGACATCTGGAAAATTAGTTTGTCAAAAAGGAAAACCAATAAAGGAAAGATATCCCAATACAAAATCTAGGTTTGTAAATTAACTTCCAATTTCAAAATTTTTAAAAATGTAGCTCTTAACTGCTACAATGAACATTTTTAAAATATCTGTTTATCTTCATAATCATGTCGAAAACATTGATACCCTATTTTTTCTCCTATAGTGTGGGGATGACAGGTTGACCTTTCTCACCAGAAATCAAGATCATATTAACCCACTGAGACCCCTCCTGTCTTAGCAGATCCTATCTAACAGTTCAAATATAGACCATTGTGTTTATAATATTAAGTAGAGCTTCTTATAGAATCATTATTTGATGCTGATAATTATACTTTCTTTTTTTTTAATTGTGCTTTAGGTGAAAGTTTACACAGTAAATTAGTATCTCATTAAATAATTAATACACATATTGTTTTGTGACATTGATTGCCAACCCTGTGATCTGTCAACACTCTCCTCTTCTGGACCTTGGGTTCCCCATTTCCATTTGTCCAGCTTTCATGTCCCCTCCTGCCTTCTTGTCCTGGCTCCTGGGTTTGTGTGCCCATTTAATCTCATATACATGGTTGAGCTACATGTATTATTGTTTGTTTTATGGGCCTGTCTAATCTTTGGCTGAAGGGTGAACCTCAGGAGTGACTTCAGTACTGAGTTAAAAGGCTGTCTGGGGTATAGTTTCATATTTTAAATCTGTCATCTCCTAACAATCTGTTAGGTTACAGAAAGATCTTAGAAAGTCTATTTACATTTATCTCATCATTTGCAATTTCTATTTTTTGTATGTGATTTTACAATGTACATAATAGATTAGTAACAGCATAACAATCAAGTACTAAAAATATATGCACATCTGGTAGCATTTTATAGGCTTAAGCGTTTTTACTAACCAGTGTACCCAACCAAAGACAAGTGGAGACTACTGGCTTAATTAGAATGTTTAATATACTCGGAACAGAAATAGTGTCCAGAATTCTTGTCTGCTGGCGTGATTGTCATTGAGTAAGGTTTAAATCCAGCTGTCTATGGCTGCAGGGATTAGAGGAGGTAGTGTTGGTTGGGGTGTTTTGATTGATTCATATTTGGTTAGGGTTTGATTTCCTTGGGACGTTCATTGTGACGTTTTAAATGAAAAGAGACAGGTGTTAAAAAATCAGATTATAATGTGTCTTTTAAAAGTGATTTGAAAATATCTTTTATGAAGAGTGGTAAGCTATAAATCAGAAATGAGTGGTTAATATTTAATTTCGATTATCTTCTTTCTTATGTCTAGGCTGACCAGATATCTGGTTTTCACATAAGATCTGTTCTCTGCGTCCCTATTTGGAATAGCAACCACCAAATAATCGGTAAGACATTATCTAGTTTGTTTCTTTTATGAATAATATAAATTTCCTTCAAAACATACCCATATCTGTTTAAGGGTTTCATCCTTTTTATGTCCAGGACTCATTAACATATGTCTCATACACTTGTATAATTTCTTATGTGCAGACTTAATATTAATCAGAACAACAAACAAATATTTATTAAGCTCAAAGAACCAATACATTTTGAACTTGGAGAGGATCTCAGAAATAAACCAGTAGAACTCACTTATTTTACCTTGTGGAAACTGAGGCCTAGAGAGGGAGAGAAAGCGAGTGAAGTGACTTGTCCATGATCACAAAGTGAGTTAGCAGCAGGGGCAGAACTGGAACTGGGGCCTCCTAACTCCTAGTGCAAACTTCCCCTACTATGTCTACATGCTTACATCTGTGCTTTTACTCCTGGAGTAAATGCAAAGGAAGAAAGAACATGCAGTATTGGACGTATACTGAACATGCATCTTTCTGCCTGGATAGTTCTCAAATAGGCCAGGCTTTCCCCAAAATAAGGAAGCAGTGGGCCAAAGCAGCTTCCAGCTTTTCTCTCCCTCCCTGCCCCTTTCCCTCTCTTCAGAAACTCAGTCAGGAAATATCAAACCTAAGAAAAAAGCCTAGGCAAGAGAAGTTTGGTGGTTAAAGTAGAGAAATCATGAAGGATGGAAGCATTAGTAAAAATTATTGAAACAATGAAAATAAGTTTTTATCTAAGAGACATAGGTAATTAATACATTTGGTAACTAATGCATTTATTTCTCTCTCTTTGCTTCACCTAAGATTGCCTGTTAGACTCTAAGATAGCACTGCTTACCAGAGGATTTAGTATTCTATAAGTGTTGCTGAGACCTGAATTCTGAAAGGATTTTTTATCATCAGTTTGCTTATTTTGCAGAAAAAATACTGGTATTATTGAACAGAAAGAATATGATGAGATTTGGGAAGTTGAGCCCTTAGCACAAAGCATTGGATTACATCATGTATTGTTTCAAAAATATTTATTGTTTAAAGAGAAGAATAAGTCCCACGAGAAACATGATATGCCATCTATTGTTGTCTCAACGGCAATCTCCCATACCATCCTTCATTTCAATACTGACAGTAAACATCTGTTATTGCTTCCACATTAGAACTGTACTTTGTCTGTTCCATGTTAAAAGATTTGAGCATATGATGACTTACCTCTCTGGTGGGAAGTTAGATGTTTTAAAAAGTACAAGCATGCCTTAGAATTACAGCTGTTTTTTGGTTTTGTACTAAAGGGGACAGAGGATAATCGTTTTCAAGATTGTTGAGTTTTTCTGGTTGGCTTGTGTATTTTGATAGTCATGCTCTATAACATCTGGTACGATGCTAGAAATGAACTTTGGAGAAAGGAAGTACATGTAAATTAAGTTTGTTAGAACTGTATGTACCCAATTGGTTGCAGGCAACAGAACTAACCTTATTTTGAAAGTTAACTGTATCATATGAACTTCTATTGCTTGTAATAATTCCTAACAATTCTTGAGTGTTTACTCCCCTTGGAGCAATATGCTAAATGCTTTACAGACATTCAAACATTATCTAATTTAATCTTCATAAAACTCTGAGATAGTTACCATTTTAATCTCCATTTTACGGTTGAGGAACTTGAGTGCTAAAAAGGTAACTTGCTAAAGGTAACACAGCTGATGGTAGAGTTGAAATTTGAAACCACCAGTCGGCCTAATTCCACAGCCTGTTTTCTTAATCACTCTGCCATACTGTCTCACTCAAGCATTGTGCTCAGAGAATTGAATATGTATATGCTAGTATTCCATTATTTTATATATATGTGTGTGTATATATATATATATATATATACACATGTTGTTGGTGTTGTTAATTGCCATCAAGTAGGCTTTCACTCATGGTGAACTATGTAAAACAGAACGAAACATTGCCCAGTCCTGTGTCATCCTCACAATCATTGGTATGTTTGAGCTCATTGTTGCAGCCACTGTTTCATACATATATGTTTAATTATGTATGTGTTTTAGTTATATATTCAATTAAATATATTTGTTCAGTTACACAGATTCAGTTTTATATTATTCAATTATATATATTCAGTTATATCTATACCTGATGTGTGTATGTATATATTTGTGTATTTGTATGTATGTATACACACACACACACACATATAGTTCAGAGTTATAGTGCATAGCCATATTGAAAATCATTTTCAGGAATGCCATTGATTTCTGGTAGAATGCCAGGCTTTCGTCAGTCCACAGTCTTTGAAGATAGACTGGACACTTCACATTTACTCTCATGGAGTCAGCAGGCAGTAGAGAGACTAGAATTTAAACTGAGTGTCTGCAGTAATTTCACAGAGTCATAGAGTCATCTGTGGCTTGCGATATTGTAGTAACACAATGTACAGTACTAAATGACCACATACCTCAAACTTTTCCCACAGGGGTGGCTCAAGTGTTAAATAGACTGGATGGAAAACCTTTTGATGATGCAGATCAGCGACTTTTTGAGGTAAGAAAAGAAAACCAAAGGTTATAGCTGAGTCATCTATAGTCTCCTGATTGCAGGTTGCCCAAGTTTGTAAGCATAAATAATTATTAATCCATTACTATTATACTTAAATATTATGATAACGCTTAAAAAAAGATCTAAAGAATATATAAACATTTAGGTAGGATTTAATTCTTTTTTTTTCACTAATCAAAATTTTTTTCAATCATTGATTATTTTCATCTTAATTTTATTACAGAATTAAATCCCACCCTCTGGTCTTCAAAGCATTAGTGTCTTATCCTTGTCTTGTTTGCACGTGTTCTAAGTTGTGAGGCCCCTAACCAGCTCAGCCAGGTCACCTTTCTTTTGTTTACAAGCCTCCATTTATTCCAGTCTGCCCTCTAGTGGGAGAGATAACACGCATGTCTTTTGAGGCACCTCTGGGTGGGTTTGAACCACCAACTTTTAGGTTAGTGGTGCAGTGCTTAACCATTTGCACCACACAGGGACTCCTCAAGCCTGGAACGGGCTTCCTTACAGACTTTATACTGCTAGCCAACAAGAAAACCCCTTCTCTAGTCGAGAATACCTCACAGTTTCTTTATTCCAAGAAACCAAAACCATTACCATGGAGTTGATTACAACTCACAGCGACCCTATAGGACGGAAGCAGACTGCCACATCTTTCTGTCACTGAGCCGCTAATGGGTTTGAACAGCTGACCTTTCAACTTTCTGGTTAACAGCTGAGTGCTTTACCACTGTGCCAACAGGATTCCAGCTTCTTTATTAGGTGATTCTAAATCCATCCTCCTTCCGCTTAACATTTTACCTTATGGTTACATTCACGTGGTTTCTTTATCAGCAATATTTTATAGTCTAGCTACTGAAAGAGGTTGCTTCTGAACAAGTGGAATGGAGTTATTAAATCAGTCCACAATCTAAGTGAATTAAGAACACATTTAACGGAGTTATTAAGTATATTTTTAAATGCATGAAATAGTTTCTTCATAATAACATTAAATTAACCATTTTTCTCATGTGCAATGTAAACTATAAAGTTGTTACATGACAATAGTAATTAAAAATTTTAATGTGCATATTTCCCCAGGGCGCACCTCTGTGTACAATAAAATTATATTTTCAGACCCATCCCTGATGACTGCCTACACTCATATTGGATTTTACCAATAAGTTATTGCAATTTCTAATTAGTGGGCTTTCTCTTTCATAGGCTTTTGTCATCTTTTGTGGCCTTGGCATCAACAACACAATTATGTATGATCAAGTGAAGAAGTCCTGGGCCAAGCAGTCTGTGGCTCTTGATGTAAGTGATATTTATGTTAGACTCGTAGGCTAAAAAGGCCCTTGTTATGGGGTTTCATTTTACAATTTTTAATGGTCTATTTTTTAATTATCTACTTCTTGTTTCTTAACAATTTTTGGATCATGGATTCAAATTTGATAAAAGCTAGAGACTCATTCTAGGAAAAAAATGCACATATGCACACAATTTTACATATAATTTCAGGGAGTTTAGAGATTCCTTGGAGCCCGTCTGTATATGTCTCATGGTTAGATACAGATTTTAAAGCTTAGGTTTTATTAAATAGTGGTGATCCAATAATAGTTTGTCAGGATTAAAAATGCGTTATGAACTTAGATTTGAATATGGATAAGTATTTTGGAAATTCACAGTTTTTCTTACCACAGGAGAAAACCTCACTATGAAGATATGACTCGGTGCTAGGAGCTGCTCCTGTCATTATCCAACCACTCCCACCCCCCACACACACCCCACTGAGAACTCCGACCTGTCTCCCATGCTTTCACAGCATCTCCTCTCAGATGCACTAAGTTCTCAAAGAACTGTTCTTGTTTTCCTGAATCCCACATGCTTGCTTGACCTAAGACCTTGTTTTCTCCAATTTCTACTCTGTAGATATTACCAAAGATTTTTTTTTATGTCTATGAAATACTTAGTAAGTAGAGCAGATAAAATGTCAGTGTCAAGATAACAGTATATAGAACAGTATGATATAATAAATGCACAATCTTCAAAATACCCTGTGAGCCAAGCCAGATATATTGGTAGAAAGAGAAAATCAAGGGGAAATATAAACAGGCCAGTCGAGGGTACCTGCAGTAGTCTGATTCGAGATTTAAAATTATACTTATCTGTTTATATACTTTTTTTTCTCCTAACTAGATGGTAAGTTCTCGACGCACAGTGATTTTTACCTTCTTCATAGTCTTATTCCCAGTGCCTAGCAAGGTGCTTAGCATAGAGGATGCATTCATTGAATGGTTTTTGGATGGAAGGGAGAAAAAGAAGAAGAAAAAAACCTAGAGGAGGGATATTTTCGCTCTCCTTCTAAGATAGTGCTGTTATATGTAACATCTTTACAGTAAAGACTAGAAAACAATATCTATAGGATGAATTAATAAATGACCTGTAAGCATAGAACCAGCAGATAAGAATCCCTTGTACAGCATTAAGGTCTGTGTGCCGAATTATTTTCAAATCCTGACTGTCACCTCCCTCAACTGTGAAAATTAAATGAGATGATGCATATGAATATTTTAATAATCAGTCAATAAAATTACAGCAATAATAATAATCAGTACAGTATTATCCATAGTCATATTTTCATTACTGAGAAATTACCATGGATTAGGAGACAGAGCAAAGGACAGGAATTGGAAACATCAAATGTTGAGTCGTTCCTCAGTAACTGTCATCAAATTCTGATCTCCAGTCTCCTCACCCTCAACTATAAGAAGGACATACCATACACTAGTCCCATCTTAAACTCTACTTCATACTGCCATGATACAATTAACACCCTAACTCTCACAGGCATGTATTCTCACTCCTTATCTACTTTCCAGAGGAGCTCCATCATGCTGAGAAGGGAGAATAATTAGGTTGAAGCATGTAGCATAGAAGATTTGATAAAAGACAACACTCTCACTAGTATGGTTTCCTAATTCCTCTCCTGCCCCAAGGAACCAGTTACCATGTCCAAGAAAATGCTAACATACCCTACTATCTTTAGCCACCTTCGCCTCTTCGTGAATTTGTGTTCATAGTGAACACTCTCTTGTTTGTGACACTCAGATCCTTCTCTCCTTAGAGACAAAAATTATTACGGACACTGCTCAGTTTCCAGCCTAACTCTGAGCCTTGTGACAGTCTCACTTTCAGAAGTTGAAGGTGTTTACTTCTATGTTCAGTATGCTTTATTTTGTCCCTGTGTCAAAAGTGTCATTCTTAATCAAAAGTCTAGTGTCACCACCTTGGTTTTGTCTCCTCCTGCCCACCCCACTGTGTACCAAATTCTCGACTGTAATGATCAGGTAACATTTTCCCCACTTCCCAGCTCAGGAATCTATATGCAAGAATATCTAGAAGAATTTCTTATCTCAGCACTTTATGAGGATAAAATGATTTGTTGAGAGCTACTAAACCTAAACTCTGGAATGAGATCTACATATGCTATACTGTATATTAACTTCTGAATGAATAACTCTATATTTAATTTGATGTATTTATAAACATTATAAATGAATGTAAATAAATGTAATATTTATGCAAATATTTCTATTAAAAGTATACAATTGTGTTTATGTGTTTGTAACCAGCCTAGTCTCATAAATGATTTGAGCTACGAATGATAAGAATACAAATGATCCAGCAAAAAATAAATAAATAACACAGTGAAACCTGTGAGAGCTGTAACTCAGCAGGGCTGCCTTGTTTTTCCAGGTCCTGCAAATGTTCTGCCTTTGACAGGGTGCAGTCTTACCACTTTTCTGTTGCTCTCTGTTAGTGGAAAATATTTGAGTTTTCCTTCTCTGACAGGTTTCTGCCTTACACAGGTTCTGGCTTTCTCAGGTTTCACTGTAATGACAATAATAATAACAAAACCAAGGGAGAGAGCAAACCAGGGGAAACAGAACCACAAGCTATCCTGATATCATCTCCACCCCTCCTCCCCAAGGACCTGGAGTAACTCTTTTTCCCTTTGTCACAATGGCAAAGGGAAGATGATACATAACCACAGCAGTGAACTCACACATATCAGTGATCATAAAAATGGCGCAGGACCGGCAGTGTTTTACTCTGTTATACGTAAGGTCACCGTGAGTCAGGGCTGACTCGATGGCAACTGACAACAACAGCAACAAGGGAAGATTTCCCGCTTGAGTCTTGTAAGGTTTCTCTTCTACTTGTGTTGTCTCATTTTGCTTATTCTCTCAATTTTTATCCCAACTAATCTTGTCCCAATAATAGCTATGTCTCAATGTAGCTTTCTCACATCCAGAATCTTATTCGTAGTCCCTTGCGGTATATTTTTCTCAGGGACAAGAGTAGGGACAAATAATCCACCCCACAGCCGAGTAACAATAACGCCCAGAGGCCTTCCTTTCCACAGAAAGAGAGCGGGCCTGGAGAGTTTACGTGAATACATTTCTTCTTACATGGCACTCTGGAGAGACAACACAACTTTATTCTCTTCTGTCCTTTAAAAAATCCTCTTCTTAGTGCAACCTCTGGATGTAAATATTCTCCAGATAAATTATCTGGGAAGACTAGTCCCCACAAATGGTTTTAAGTACAATCTGTTTGAAATACTTAGAGCTCACTGGAGGTACACTATTTATGCAGGCCTCGGTTCACATCAATATTCCCTGCAGAAGGAGGCTTTACCTAAACAAAAAGCTGTGTAGGGAGAAGAGTTAAAGAGCTGTCTTTAGCATTAGTCTAATCAGTCCAGTCTATCTTGGTTTAGTTAGTCGCTGTTAACCTTGGGCAAGTTATTTAATCTCAGTCTGTTTTTTCATATGCTAAATAGGAATAATAAATGGTTTATACCTCTCTGAAAGGGTGTTTTACAGTTAAAGTAATGCAGGTATTTGTCGTTGTTGTTAGGTGCCTTTGAGTTGATTTTCAACTACCATGTGACAGAATAGAACTGCCCCATAGGGTTTCCTAGGCTGTAATCTTTATGGAAGCAGATCACCAGGACTTTCTCCCGTGGAGCAACTGGGTGGGTTCAAACTGCCAACCTTTTGGTTAGCAGCCGAGCGCTTAACTGTTGTGCCCAGGTCTCCTTAAGTTCCAGTACCAGTTGCTGTCGAGTTGATTCCAACTCATGGCACCCTCATGTATTTCAGGGTAGAACTGTGTTCCATGGGGTTTTCAGTGGCTGATTTTTTTGGAAGCAGATCTCTAGGACTTTCTTCCAAGGTGTCTCTGGGTGGACTCGAACCTCCAACCTTTTGGGTAGCAGCTGAGAGTGGTAACCATTTGTGCCACCCAGGCAGTTGTTATTAACCAGAGCACTTGCTGCCCTTACTCTGCACTGAGTTCTGTATGCCCATCCCGGAATTTGCTGTAAGACTGTGCTGACTGAGGAGCTGGGAAAGGGGGTTATATTCGTATCCTGGGGCTGCTGTGACAAAGTACCACAAAGGCATGGCTTTAAACAACAGAGATATATTCTCTCATAGTTCTGGAGGCTAGGAGTCTGAATTCAGGGTGTCAGTAGGGCCATGCTCTCTCCGGAGGCTCTGGGGGAAGGTCCTCTCTTGGCTTTCTCAGTTTCTGCTAGCCCCAGGCATTCCTCTGGCTTTCAGATGTATCTTCACATGGCCATCCTCCCTTTCTGTCTGTCTCTCTGTGTCTCTTCTCCTCTTGTATAAGGAGTCACTGAGACTGGATTAGAACCACCCTACTCCGTCATGTTAATGAACTGATCTTAACATCATCAAATACCCTATTTCCAAACAACCTATTTCCACACTCATGTTCACAGGGACCAGTGGTTATGACTTCAGTGTGTTTTTTGTGGAGGCACAATTCAATCCATAACAGAGTTGTAACTTTTTGCCCCTTTTGTCAGGAATACCACTTCCTGGTTGAAGTTTGAGCTGAAAACAGATGCCCCATTTCCTAGTCCCTTGACACATCCTGTGCAACACCACTGAACATCCCAGCAGCATGGCAAACGCAGCTATTCCAGGGCGTTGCTGCTCGCTCAGTGCATGTCTGTGTGACCCTGTATGTTTCTGAAGAAAAGTTCAGGGCATGGAGATATAACCTCTCCCCATGTCAAAAACAGGTTTTTAAGGACAAGATAAAATAAAAAACATTTTGGAGTAAGAAGCCTACTTGTCCCTTCCCTGTTGCCATGTTCTGGCAACTTCAGCTAATTTTAGCCATAATGGCGAAAAATAGAAATATAAACACAAAAAATATTTTCTACTTTTCTGGCCTTTAAAACGTGATATGAGTAATACATTATCTGGATTTTTTTTTAA